CACACACACACACACACACACACACACACACACACACACACACACCTTCACAGCGAGGACCATTAGCTGGGCTTTTTTTTTAAGCCGCGATTTCTTCCCATTAAGTGAGAATGATTAAAATAGCTTTTGCATAATCCTCCCCTTTCTTGCCGCTCAGTCTGTCCCCGTCCCTCTCCTTCTTTAGGAAGTCATTGGCCGACCGTTTTAAAAGTCGCTCGAGCCAGTCCACAAAAGGCTTTAATTAATCATTCTCACCTAAATAAGTGTCAAGAAAACGTGTTAATTGGAAGGACTTGCCTTGCACATTGGTGTCCGCTTTGCCACAAGGAACCCATTTGCCTCCTTGAAACCTCCAGTGATTGGGATCCGCCAAAATCACATCCACAAAAATATTGTAATGAGCGGTGGGATCGAGACCAGAAATGTTAAAACTCAAAAAGGGAAACATGCGCCTGTTTAAATTAAAAGGGGAGAGAAAACAAGGAAAAAAAGAAAATAAATGTTAGAGATTAAATGCAAGAAGCGGGGCGCCAGATAGCCAAGCAAAACTTGTCCTTGTAGTGTGTTTGAACGAATATTTGCTGCTCTAGAAAAGGGGTACTGGGAGAGGGGAAGACGTAGGGCCGAAGCCGGGGACGGAGCAGTGTGCTCTGCAGTGGGGGGCCGGCAGGTATCAGTGCTAGGGTGAAGAGCGGGGTTGACCTGCTTCTCCACCTGTCGGCACAGGCCAGCCTTGATGAGCTGCTCTAACACTGGCTGCTGCCGCGGCTCTTCGTCTTGCTCCGTCCACTGACTGACTCTCCGACCGCACTGGTACAGCAGACTCCCCGCCACCAACATCACCACGGCGGTTTTTATCCCTTCCATTTTCCCCTTTTTCAAAACCAGCCAACTCCAGGACGCACCCGATCGCCTTTCCACTCCGCTCCCCGACCCCACATCGTCGCTGCCCGGCGGTCACAACTTGGGTGCTCTCGCCCAGGGTCACGCCTGGAACAACGGCAGCCAAAAAAAAAAAAAAAAAAAAAAAAAAAAAAAAAAAAAAAAAAAAAAAAGTAGCATTACCTTCCCTGTTTAGTGATGATCATCTCCGTTTGATGCCGATGAAATTTCAGCCAAAGTGGCCTGTTGCACAGGTATACCTGCGCCTTGCCCGGCACCAACCCGGGCTGGGTGGAAGAGAATTGGTAGAACGGAGCTCCTTGGTAGGAGTGGCCGTACTGCTGTGGGTAGGGGTAGCCGGCCGTGGGGTAGCCCTGCGGCGAGGAGTTGGACAGCAGGCTGTTGTAAGCTCCGTTGGTGATAACCGGGTGGTGGGCCATGTAGCGGCTAGGGCTGCCGATGGAGAAGGCGGGATGCGCCGGTCCGTGCTGGCCGGGATACGGGAACATGGCACTGGGAGCAGTGGCCGCAGACTGTGGCTGGCTGGACTGAGAGAGGAGGTAACGATCTGCAGCAGAGCCATCGAAACTGTGACGAAGCTCAGAGACCCCGTCCAAGACAGGAGAGAGTTTACTTCTCTGGACGTCCCCTGGTGAGTCCTTGGAGTCAGGAAAATTGTCTGGATCTGACTGATTCGTCATCCCCCTGGTAATTTTTTTCAAAGGTGAACTTCTCTCCAGGTTGTCAGTGGTCGAGATAATGGGATGATCGTGCAAGACAAGCTCAGATCCGCCCGAATGTGGGTAGCTGCTGCTCACATTGAGAAATTTCTTGGAGAGCATGATAGACGGAGAGAGGCAGTGCTCCAGCTGCATAGCTCTAGAACCTGAACGCTCGCCCTCCCGTCCCTGGGTTTTAAAGTCCTGTTTATCATAAACTAGGAATCCACAGACCCCTCACTAGACAGAAAGCACTTCAACCAGCAAATGCTTCTCTAAGGTTTGATTTACTTTTTTTTTTCCCTGGGAGAAGAGATTGGCCAATTGACACTATGCAGCAATCAGAAAAGGCTCACTTTTGATCTTGCTGCTTATGCAGCCGATGAAACGGCTCCTGCCATTGGTTAGCTGCTGACAGTAATTTAATTAGATAGACATTAATTAGGATAATCACCTGGCTCCTGGTCGCGACGATCATGGCAAATTGAAGGGGATGATTTTATTGTTGGTTTGGGGGTGGGGTGGGGAAAGTGTGTTGGTTTACGTGAGCTCTGTTATGTCACCTTTAAGCTTTGTGACCACCGCTTTAGGAAGATTCAAAGATGTGCAATTTACTAAACATTTCCTAACCCCCCTTTCTCTCTATAGAGAGGAGGGGCGGAGGAGGGAATTCGATGATGCTAGGAGACTTTTCGGATCTGAATGAGCCAAATATTCAGTTGAATGTAACGATTTCAAGTGCAAAGTATACAAAGCGCGAGCCGGTGGCCTCTTCTCGCCCTGTAAAACTTCCAGAGTCTGTCTTTTCCAGTTAATACACAGAAGCACACACACCTGAGTCTGTGCTTTGTGTGTAGGTTACTGCGTGTCCTTGACGCCCCCTCCCCCACCTTTAAACTGCCCGACTAAATAAATAAATAAACAAACCTCCAGCGCGGAAAGCTTCAGCCTTAAGGTGGAGAGAGGAGAAGTGGAGGCGAAGCAGCTCACCCACCCATCAACCCACCTCGGGAAGGTTCGGTTTCCGGCTGGGGTACAGAAACAGTGACAATCTATGATCTCCTTTTTAAGTTTTGAAATAATCATAAGCCGCCGCACCGAAGCGCTTTAATGTATGTGCAGTCATGTTTACTGGGTCGTTACTAAATATTTTATCAGCCAACTTGGTTGCAGATCATCTGAAGAGCAGCTAGCTGGGGGCGGGCGCCACGTATCCTTTGAGTCCCACCGCACTTCCTCCTTTCGAAGGAGGCCCTGGCTTGGTGACAGGTTCATAAGCCTCGCCAGGAAAAAGAGAGGGCTGAATCCCCAGTGCAAATGGGTTCGCTAGAAGCGTTGATCTGGGGAGACAGAGTGGAAGTGGTGTCAGCGCAGTGATCTTACTGAACTCGTGTGTGTGTGTGTGTGTGTGTGTGTGTGTGTGTGTGTGTAATGTTTACATAATCCAGAGGGAGAGAAAAAGAATCCATGCCAGTAATTTTGGATTAGAAAAAAGAACCGGTTTAAAGAGATTTTGCACAATAACACCACGAGGCCCCAAGCAACTCCGAGGTGTAGGGGAAAAAAAGATCCCCCAGTACCTACTCCACAGGAGGCCAGCCTCAAGTCTAGAGCACCAGAGATCAACGACCCCAGACCTGCTGCGTGGGGCCAGGCATTGACAATCTGCTCAGTAGCTTTCCTCCCTGAAGGTGGTAGGCGCAGGAATGCGGAGTCAACTCCGGGCTTAGCTCAGCTCGGGCCAGCAAGGTGGTCAAGAGGCGACCCGGAGACTTAAGGAGCGCCAGGCAGGCGATCCTGTCAGGCTCGGACCACAGAGGCTCAAACTCCACCCGTTAAGACACACAGGTGGAGCATCCGTCTTCAATCCAGCCGCCCGAGTATCCCGGGCCAGAGTAACAGCGTTCAAGACTGGAAACGTGGGGTGGGACTCCGGTATGGTTAGAGAAGAGTTAACAGATTCGGGATGTGGTGGAGTTTAGTAAACAGCGGCCAGTCAGCCAGTGCTGAGCCTGCGCTGCCACTGGCAGCAAGAAGGTACCAGTTTTGGCCTCCTAAGGGTGCAGGAACAAGGCCCATCACTGGTGGCCATAGGCCGGACAAGTTGATGATCAGATGTCTCAGAATCAAGAAGCAATTTTCTGGGAGAAAAATAACGCCAGATCCGTTTTCCCTTTGAAAGCAAACCTCAGCTCCTGGCCAGAAAGCTTCATAAACAGGCAGGATTTTAGTTGTTCAGGCATTGGCGCACCGGGTTGGTTGGTGGTGGTGATGAATAGCTAGGATGGTATTTGATGCTTTCTTCCCTTAATCTTTGCTGCCACTTTTGCCCCATTTAAGCTGCTTGTGTGTTCTCTCTGAATCCTTAGCTTCTGTCACCAAGTGCCTCTCTCCCTTCTGATTCTTACATCATCTTGCCCCCTGAGCATGACACAGTCTTAAATTCATATGAATGGGATAGATATCACCTAAGCTTTTTTGCCATCCTTGACACCTTAAAAAATACGGACTCTTAAAAACAAAAGGAATACCAAAGTGACCAACAAAGTGTGAAGATTGAAAAGGTATGTGCCTTCCCTAGGAATTGAATTTGGAGGTGAACAGGAACTGTGACCCACTTTCAATAATCAGCCCAAAATTCAGTGGTTCCTCACATATACGTCTTGCCTTGAACTTTGTGTATATTCACAAGGAAAATGGGGACTCTCGACAGAAGACTGGGTGGGACTTGGACTTATATATGTGCTTCCTTAGCACTGGTCCAGGCAAATCAGTTTCAACAGTGCAATTACATCTCTGCACTAATAACACGGGGGTTTGTTACTAGACCATCTTTAGCTCCTCATCACCTCTGTTGGGGGTAGGGAGTATCTAGCTCGTGTTTAACAAGTTGGTTCAATGCCTAATGTGCCTAGGCTATCAGGCTGCTGGTAAAATGGTTATATATCGCTAGACAAAGGTATTTGCTAAGTGGCTATTAGGACGACCTGATTTTGATCAACTTAAAAATATTTTTAAAAAGACATGATTACCAAATTAAAAGATTGTGCCAAGGTGCTGAAACTGATAGTGTATCCAACATAAAGCAGGCAGGAGGAAGTGGTCTGTGGCTACTGGAAACCAAGAAAGTCCACATAGTCCAATAAGAGCAAGGCAGGGAGGGCAATGTAAGCCTTCCTAGTCACAGCATTTAGTAATTCAGGGTACTCTCAGGAAACCAAACACGAATGCAGGATCCAGCCCTGGAAATACTGAAGCTCCCCCCTCCCCTGAAGGCTCTCTATTTAACACACACACCCCTAGTTCTCCAGTATCTGTGAAAATTGTCATTGAACTTAATAGTGAAAACCCTGTATCTAAAAAAAAAAAAAAAAAAAAAATCATGCCCTTAAGTGTGAATTAGTCAAAAGAGAAAATTCTACCCATTTATTTTAATTTTAAATAATTAGATACAATCCCAATAACTTAATGTTGCAGTTAACAAAATACTATATCTAAAGGATATATCTCTATAAGACAAGAAATAACCAGAACGTATCATTCCATGGGAGGGAGGGAGGGAGGGAGGGAGGGAGGAAGACTGAAAGATCCTGGAAACTTAAAACAATTCTCTACCTTCAGTTTCTGATAGTCATCAGATGGTAAGCGCATAAACACAACTGTTGAATTATCTGGTATTTGGGTATACTATGCATGGCATGCATGATACCCCTAGTAGGTGAAGTCTAAAGTTAACAAGTACAACCCTTTCACAAAGAGTTAGAAAAACTTTCACCATATTTTCACAAGGGTACAACCTAGAATTAAATCTGTCTCCATACTGTTAGCTACTACTTGGGGTATTCAGTAAACTGCTTTTCAGTAAGTATTTATTATATAAAGAAGGGTATGGCTATGTGCTTTATTTATGTGAGAAGCTACGAGAACTGCCAATAAGCCATACTATTATACCAAACACCAAGTACTTCGGCGTTAATTCAGGAAACAACTATCGTTTATAAGCTCATGACATTCAACACACAAGAATTTATTTATTTATTTATTTATTTATACTTTTTATACTTTCTATGCCTGGGCTACAGGAAAATCTAGTGGTGTTCCCAGCAGTCAACTTCTAGACAGTTTTCAAAAGTGTTTGTAGAATATACTCTTCAAATTGTGATAGTTTAAAATTGCCCGCCTTTTAAATAAACTTTTCTGAAATCCTGATAAGTGTAATATGTTAAGATATGAATATATAATGCTGGCTTGAGAGAAAGGCTTTAAAAAAAAACCAATATTTATCTGGGTTACTCCCTAATGAGGAAAAACTCACTAATGGCGACCACTAATTTGTGAAGTTTTATTATCACAGTGATGCTTCATGTGTTGTAAAATTTCAAAACGCGATGAAAAACATAGCTTTGTGTGAGAACTCCAAAGTACTGTCAAATGTTATTCTGCCACTTCCACCCAGTGCCAAAAAGACCTCTGGAGACATGGATTGTAAATGTATTTTATTTCGTAAGCAACAATCAAAATATATTTGTGCTACTGATTTTTTTCAAATAGTAAATGGGGTCTTAACAAAATTTGTCCACTTTGATGTATTCCTGAACAACTTTGGAATCTGCAGAACCCTGACTAAATTAACAGAAGCAACTGCACAGCTGAGATGGAAGTGGCACAGGTGACTTCAGGCCACCACATCGCCTGCAGAGCTCCCTACACTGTGAGCATTAGGACAACGAAGGAAAATACACTGAGAGTGTCACTGACAGCTCTCTATGTTGCTTTATTTAAATACAACAGTATCCAACATTGCTGCCAAACACTGGACAATATTTGAAGTCATAAGCACATCCACATGTTCTTCCAAATGACGTTTGGGATCCTAAAAGAAAAAAAGTAAAAGAAGAAAAAGATAGCTGTGTTACTGGTAAACTACATTTTTTCCCAAGAGCAGATTAAATTAGTAATGAAGCCTAAATTTACACATATTTTATCATTCAGTTTTTCTAACACATTGTTACATTCTTGATTGAGGCTTCTAAATTTGTTAAACGGAAACTAAAAAAATTACCCAATGAAAGACAGATTTGTGCTAGTTATAGATAAGTTCCACGGATTTTCATAAAGGGTAACAGGTAAAAGGTACATTTATGTATTTGTATATGCACGAGTACATTCTGTCATTAATATATTTTAATGTCTGATGAAGGTTTATTTAAGGTGTAGGTAAGCAGGTAATGTGAATAATATGAATTGTAAAAAATGAATCCTGTAAATCTTAATATTTCAAGAGAATTATTCAGAAATATTCTGGGATCAAAAGCCACTATAATTGAAAATTTTAAATATAATTTGGATTTATTATAAAATATTAAGAATGCTTCATCCAGCTAGTCTGGAAAATTGTATCACTGGAACTTAAACAGGCATGACTCTGAAACCTGATCAGATCCATTTTAAAATAAGTCAGGTTAAAAATGAAACTTAAAATTGCACTATAATAAAACAAAATTAAATGTTTACTATGTTTAAGGATAAATAAGTTATTTCATCTAAATTTAAAAGCTTAAAATAAATATTGCTAGCAATAAGAAATGATCTTAAAGCATTATTTTCTTATATGTGTTTTAAAATACCTAAGATTTGTAACTTTATACAAGTCTTCTTCTCTGGCTTTATAACTCTTAGCTCTGCTTTTCTTGTCCCTAGTTTCAGCACACCAATTTCTTACAACTGAAGATTCAATGACTAGACTATGGTACTATTAGGGCTGGCCCTGAACACATTCCAGGTGAAGGTCCTACAAAGACCAGCAGGAGGAAAGTGGGCCAGTGACCTAGTTAGCACATGTAAAACATGGGCACCTTGCTCAGGCCTTCATCCCACACCTGGGGAAGTAGAGGCCGGAGGATTTCTGAGACTCTTGATGTCAGCCTGATCTACATAGCAAGTTCCAGGATAGCCAGGGCTACACAGTGAGACCCTGCCTTAAAAAAAACAAAACACCATGATTCTGATGATTTGTTTATTTGTTTGTTTTTGAGACAGGGTTTCTCTGCTTAGCCCTGGATGTCTTGGAACTCTCTCTAAAGACCACGCTAGCCACAAACTCAGAGATCTGCCTGCCTCTGCCTCCAGGCACCACCGACACCTAGTGATCCTGATGATTTCTAAACTTCATCAATTATACGTTTTCCAGTTTCAATTTCAATTTAGTCCTTTCATTTTCCTGTGGGCCATTAAAGAAAATACACAAGAACCCACAGCCTCGGAAAGTAATTTATTTAGTGAGTTCTAGAAAGGGTAATGTTCCAAACTAGTAATCTAACATATATTAGATGAA